TCTGGCTACTGCCAGATTAATATCTTAATGCCAGGAAGTGCCAGATTTAATTACTCTTTAAGATTACTTCTCTCTAAGGCCAGAAAGTATTTAAAATAGTTATTACTGATATTTTGCATATAAAATAAAGAAAATACCTAACTTTTATAGTGTTGGCAATGTCATTTACCAGTGCATTGATGTTTTCTGTTTCCTTGAGGTATCTCATGGTCGTCTTGCAACTGCCAGAAAGCCAGAGCGGCAGGTGACCCGTATGGTTGTAGTAATGATTGTGGCATTCATGGTGGGTTGGACCCCTTACGCAGCCTTCTCTATACTGGTCACAGCTTATCCCACCATTGAACTTGATCCAAGGGCGGCTGCCATCCCGGCTTTCTTCTCCAAGACAGCGGCTGTGTATAATCCAATCATCTACGTCTTTATGAACAAACAGGTAAGGCTGATGTTTAGAGCCAAAGCTTCATGGGATTCCTCTAAGCTTGTCTTCATAAAAACATGATCCACACTGAGATCTTTTTTATACAGTTTCCTTGGCTAGGTAGCTTTAAGGTACTTTTAACTCAACGGGAAGTTTAAATCTGTGGGTCACCTCACAAGAATGTTAAAGTTGTAGGGAAGTCATATTTAAATGTCCAATCATTCTTGCTTAAACATGTAGAAATTTACTTTTAATCAGAAGTTAAAAAATTTCTATTTTAAAAGAAAACCTGTGTTGTGTTCTGTGTTGTTTTTTTTTTCGTTATCTTATGAGGGCCAGTCAGTTATACGTCAGGTTGTACACCTAAACTCGGTTAATCATATATCAAAGGTCATCTGTCAATAAATTTTTTCGGTCATAGCATCTTAATTCATATGTCGCAGCTAATATAGCAACGGTTGAAATAAGAATAATTTACTTTACCAATGAGTTACGTCCCAGTGTTCACGGGGATGGACGTCTGTGTTTTCGGCAGCCGTAGAGCTAACAGAACTGGCAGCGTTGCGAGGCAAGGGCTCAAACATGTACGGCTGTAAGCCTTCTACACCAAACCAAGCTTCTGCTGCCCTGGCATCTTCTTCCACAATAACTTTGTCCCCACTCTCCTCCTCTACATAAAAAATGTATGACGGAGGAGACTTATCCACGTCCTCCGACAAAAAACTCTCCTCCTCTTGTATGTTTCCGCTGTCCATAGAGTTCCTTGACAGTGTCGTCCCTAAATGCTACTTGGTCCCAATGTAATTTCCCATTGGGAAACTACTAGCACTAAGTTGCTAACTAGTTAGCAAGATGCTTTCGACAAACCGGTCACAACCAAACTTGCTTGCAAACCCTCTGCCACAACAATCCCGCCCCCTTCATAAATGACAAATCACATTCACTTTATTCACTCGTGTAAAGTTGGGCACCACTCGGGAGAATTCAGAAATGCAACAGTTGGAACTGTTTCCCTGCGACTTTAAAGTTGACAAGGCATATTTTGTGTAACAACTAGAGCAATCTGAAACAATTAATCAGAAATAAATTGGAAGGTTATTTATTTTTATGCAGCATTGTTGAAGTTTAAAATAACTCTTTAATCAATTTAACTGTATGATCTGGTGAACTGAAAAGTGCCTTGAGATGACATGTGTTGTGAATTGGCGCTATATAAATAAACTGAATTGAAACTGAATGACCCTTCTACTAACAGTTTTAAAGATACTAAACCAAGCATCTCTTGCTAAATAACAACAACACATCTGGATGGTTGTGTGATTAGCTAAGGTCTCATCACCTCTAAGTAAGAACTATTAAGAATGGTATTACTTCCTTTAGCAGAAACAGCTCTGCGCAGCCAACCATGGAATCATTAAGTAAATTATATATCCCTGAACATTCTGACAGATGAGAAAACAAAAATGGCAAATTTTAAGAGTTACAATGAATTAGTTACAATCTGCAATTTGCATCATTTGTGATACATTGAGCATTTCAGGGTTATTCATTATGTATTTTCTGTTCACTACGTTTTTGATTGTATGGTCTTTCAAAAAAAGATACAGCTATATGATACACTAAAAGTTATAGGGTTAAAAAAAGAAGCCTGACCCTCAGCTTTGAGATGTTCGAGAGGTTATAGGGTTAAAAAAAGAAGCCTGACCCTCAGCTTTGAGATGTTCGAGAGGTTATAGGGTTAAAAAAAGAAGCCTGACCCTCAGCTTTGAGATGTTCGAGAGGTTTTCTTCAACGTACAGTTTGTTTCAACCGGGTCTCAGTGAGACAAGATCACTTTCAATCATCTTAGGACTTTCCACTTACAAATTCTCAGCTGGACCTTTGTAGAATTAATACATATATGTTAATATTTTAAAGTTTAATGTTTCCCTCAGCTTAGATTTATTTCACTGATGGTTTCACATTTTCCTGAATGATCCCCTGAATCCTCTTTTTTGGATCTTTAATAATTTATTTTCTTTTCACACTGTCTTTCACACTGTCTGATATTCAATTTCATTTTTTCAAACATATTAAAAGGATACAAGTTGTTGTAGTTTTTTTTTTTATTTACTGTATTTGAATCCAGCTGACCTCAAAGGGCTAGTTTTTTTTCTCTCACAGAGGTAAATAAAGAGAGCTCAAACACAGACTCAGGGGATTTCTATGATGCGTGACTAACTCTGCTTGTAGTTTTAACACCTCAAGCCAACTCAAAGGTCAAAAGTCTTTACAACAAAACATCCACCAACCGTATCACTTTCAAATGAGGAAAATCCATTTCACACAAGATCTCTTGTCAAGTCAGTCAGCAATTATTTTTTTTAGATTGCTAATCAAATAATTCCTATCTGGCAAAAAACAAAACAAAAAAAAAAGAAAAATTTTTAACGTTTAGATGTTTTAATTAGTTTATCTTTATTGCATGAGAAGACATGTGATTTTGGTCAGAATTATATACTTGCTTGCCTTTAAGGGGACATTTGATGACCTCACTCCCTCAAGCGTGTTATGGTAGTAGTATTTTTAGTTTATACTGTTCAGCAACTTTGAAAAATATGTTATGCAACAACAAGTTTTACACTAGAAAACTGCATGCTAATACAATTCCCATCTACATTCTCAGATAAACATGAACACAATCAAGGTCCCATAGACCTCCATCGATTTAATTTCTTAAGTAAATACAAAACTTTAAATATAGTTTTACTTTTAGATCAGTGTGCAGTAAGCACTGTACTGCCTTACCTTCTTTCCATGTATACATGTGGTATACCACAGCAGAACATCTTCCTGCTTTTGGTATAAGAGCTTAGATCCTGGATACTAGACTTTTTTTTAATTTAAATTCATGTGCAAAAGGGGTTTTTAAATTATTATACAATTACTCATATTTTTCCAATAAGATGCATTTACAGGGCATTACTGGCACAACAAGCAATGTAAGAATAGCAGAAAAATGGCAGATTTTTACTGGAAGAAATTGTTTATATTGAAATAAAAGAAGAGGTTCTGCAGCTTGTGTTTTTACTCTAGAGATAAGATTCAAAGATAGCAGGAACAAATCTAAAAATGTGTTTTTAAAGCATAAGTGAAATCTTCAAAAGCTGTTTCCTCTGTTTTTTGGGAAAGTCTGCATTATTGAAGTTACCTTTTTATTTAAAAAAAAAACAAAAAACCTTGATGTCATATTAAGAGGTTGACTATTGGAGAAATTATCTAAAATACTTCGAAACAAATAATTTTTTCATCCAGACAATTAATTTATCTGTGGTTGGACTCAGTACTGCACCAGCTTGTTGTTTACCACATACCAAAATAAATAGCTTTTCAAGATGATGCAAAGTTAAACTTGACGCTGCAGAAAATTAAGTAAATATATATTATAATCCAGAATTTTAGAAGACTGTTTCTTTAGAGTAGTGCATTAACCAGTATGAGGTTTGAAGCATTTGTCCATCACATTTTTCCTGCATTACTTTTATACTTTAAGTGGTTTTAAAAATTGTACTCTTATACTTTTACTTGAGTAAAAAGCTTAAGTTAATAATCTCATTTCTACAAAAGTGTTTTAAACAGTAGGATTTATACTTCTACTTATAAAACAATATAAACATTAATACTTTTGAGACCTCTGTTAATAAGTATAGGATGTTTGGAAAGATTGCCTAAAGTTGTAATATTTTAAGTTTAGACCACAAATATGTATTATGGTGGGTCTTTCATTAGCTGTGCTAAAGTGAATTTCTAAAACCATTACTAACAGATATTACTGCTAATGACCATTCAATATGCTACAGAATCATGGGATATACATATTTCTTTCACAGGTTTTCCATTTCCTTCTTCATCAATGTACCGTAAATAATGGAAGATTGAAGTTTCAGAATCAGAAATACTTTAATAATCCCAGAGGGAAATTACTTAAAGTCTGATGGTTTGTTTGAAATTTGAAATACATATTTGTATAAAACCTAAAAAAGAGCTAGAGAGGATGAATCTGTTTTACCATGACTGGAACATCTTCTAAAGTCTTAAATATTGGTTTCCAGCTTTGCTGCTATTCCTAATTTCAAAGTGCGGTAGGTATTGCTGACATTTCTCTGAATAGTAAAACAACGTCCTTCTAGAGAGACTGCTACACCCAGTTGGTTGTATGATAAAATACTTGGTCTAAAACATATCCTTTGTATACATATATATATATATATATATGTAGTTTAATTATTATAATTTGAAAACCGTTTTTATCTAACAATATTTTTACTTTTTTTCCCATGTGCTTTTGTTGCAGTTCAGGAAGTGCCTGATTCAGCACTTTACAGGCATGGGAACAATCCCGGAAAGCAACCTGAATCAGACCTCAGAGCGACCTGGAATTACTGCTGAGAGTCAAACAGGAGAATTGTCTGCCATTGCAGCACGCATCCCTGTAGGCAGCACCATGTCTCCCAAATCAGATGACTCTCAAACTGATTGTGGCTCATTTGCTCAGCTTCCCATCCCAGAGAACAAAGTGTGTCCACTGTAACTGCAAGCCTCCTTCCAATAGATGTGATGTTCCTCCTTGAGAGTGAATATTAACTTTCCTTTATCCAGCTACAGTGTGCTTCAGAAACTTTGTGGACTTTAAGAGAAGATGGAATAATTATCAAAGTCTTTGCAAAACTTTGAAGGCATTGGGCACTTTTGAGGATATTAAATTTCTGTGTAGAACTGAGGAAAGGTTTTGTGCTTTCACCTGTTTTGTTAGTTTATTTATGTGTGTTTAATAAATAGATTAATAATAGAGGAAGAAAAAAGAATCAATAGATATGCTTCAGCCTTAACCCTGCAGGTCATCTGTAACTACTAAGTACTTCTCCATCTTGTTAATCGAGAATGTCTGAGTTGTTCTTCTTACCCCTGAAGAGCTTCATGTTGTGAATCATATTAGTGGGCGCTTCATTTCAACTTTATACTGCCTGCCTTCAAATCCCAGTGTATCAGTGGATTGTGAAATCTTGACATCAGAAGTTAGGGGCTGGTCAGTGTATTTCAAATACCACAATGAATCCAGTCTTTCATCTTGTCCTTGCCTTCTCCTTTGAAGCCCCATGATAGTGTCTGCAGAGGAAATACTGTTTTCCTATGCTGTTTTCAGTGTTTTCTTTGGCAGCAAGCTTCCGTCAACTTTCCATGTCAAAAGCACAAAGCAATCTTTGAATTGGGGATTTTTCTTTCTCTATTTTAGTTTGTCCTGTACAGACAAGTCAAGTTTATTTCTGAGGCAGCATTCTAGCACTGTCTCCATTGCAGATTTGGATTGGAAGTATTAATGAGCAATCAGCAGGGGACCAAAGGCAATTGTAAAGACTGCTGTGGACATATTTAAAACCACATATAGACAGAGGCAGCAGCTTGTCAAATAGGACAAGCGGTTAACCTTGTTGACCACTTTAATAGGGACAAATGTCCAAATAGTATTTTGGCCAACTAGCTTAAGAACCATTGAGCAGGACGCCTCTCTAGTAGACTCTCTGGGTGAAATTGTGTGCTTTTTTTGGATTAGTAAAAGAGGAAAGAGGGGAAAGAAACACGACTAAGACACAGCCAGAAACCAGCAGTAGAGTATAGACCTTGAATCATGTTTTTCTACTAAGGCAGTAAATTGATTGCCTAACACCTGATCTAGATTAGGATCTTTAAAGAAAGGGGTGTATTTCACTTAGTTAAGACAGCTACTTTGCTTGGGTTATGTAGTGTTCTGCTTATGTGACCAGTTATCACTGGAAAAGACATTTTGATCTCTTCAATGTGTCATAATATTTGTTATGATGTGAGTCCCTCCATCCTTAACACTTGAACAAAAGTTTTAGTTTTTACCCAAACAGTGTTAACAAAAATTGCCATTCAGCCAATAAAATAGCAGAAAAAAACTCAGTGTATTTTAACATTTGGATAGGGTGCAAAAACTTTCAGAAACTCTAACTGAGAATCGGAGGGCGGGAAGATATGGAGTAATCTAGATGTAAAAACATAATCCTGGGCAGAAACAAATTTTAAAAAGGTGGACAGTTCCAAGACATTGAGGAATTGTGGAAATGAACAGAGGGGGTTAAGCAGGGCTAAGGACAGGACAAGGGAAAGTGAGATGCTGCATATAATTTGTATTCAGAAATCAGAATACCATGTAAAACTGTGTTTTTGTCATTGTTATGGCTGTAAGAGTGACCATAAAGGCGATATACAAATAATGAAGAATACAAACGTCTACAAGCAGGAAAACATAAATGCTAGCACCTTGGAGACTATGTCACTTAGAGGTCCAACTTCATAAATAAAGCCCAAGTTCCATAGTACCTGAACACAGTACATAGATATGTACCAAGCTGTACCATTTTATGCAGCTGCATTTTAAAGATACAGAGGGAAGCAATGATAGTTTTAGACCAAATACTGCAGAATTAAAACATGTTGAGATTAAGATAGCAAAATTTGAACCCTGGTGGAACAATGTCCTAATCAAGTGTGCAGAGCATTATTTTTATACACCCATCGCTTTGAAAATTAGAACGGTTAGACATAGCAGCCTGCTGCTGCAATAATGTGGATCCTGCACCATTATGTTGTGGTGAAGAACCTGCTGAACCACAAGGCAAAGCTTGTGATTTATTGGTCAGTCTATGTTCCTTCCCTCATCCACAGAAACGGGATCATGACAAAAAGAACAAGAACCTTGAAATAAGCTGCTGAAATTACTAAATGTAGTTGACCAGGGTGGCTTTGATAATTTACCATGTGCAAAAGTAATGTGTATTTTCATGTAACCTAAAACTAAATAGCAATACGGAAGCTACATAATTTCCAACAATATACCACAGAAGCTTTAGCTGCAATAGGTGAAGTGATAAAATTTTCATAATGCTGGACTTTGTGTTGCATGTTTGTTTACTGTTATTTGGTATCCATCTAATCATTGTTATCTGCTGCACAATGATACTCTATGTATGAACAATATAACACTGTGGTGTCTGTGTGTCTCAGTCAAGCCTGGCTGTTCTGTATTAAGTCCCAATACTGTATGTGGATAACAACATACATCTGTGCCATATTAATTGTGATACATTGGTGTTATAACAGTATGGGGCAATGTTGATCATAGCTGTTAGTTCTAATGACATTTCAAATAATCAATGCGATGTCACTTTTTTTTTTCTTTCAAAATGAGTTAAAGCACTCATCAATACAACGTTTTAACTAATGAAATTTTATTTTTGTATATGTGATCATATGTAAGTGTTTGAAATGAGCATCCTCCTTAGGATGGCAGGAGTCCGATTTAGAAATAAGAGAAGGAACTCCATCATCCAGGAAAGGCTCAGAGTAGAGCTGCTGTTCCTTTGTATTCAAAGAAGTGAGCAGAGGGGATTTTGATTTTAGGAGGCATTTTGGTCCTCTCCATTTGGAGATCTTCCAGACATGTCCAACTGTTTGTTCAGATCCCCAACCAGATAAATGTTTATATATATATTTTCTTGTCAGGGAATCCCTTGGGATTTCCCAAAGTGAGCAACAAAATGTTTCCAAAAAGCAAGATGTCTGAGTTTTCCTCCTGGACCTCTTTGTAACAGGGTAATACCAGTTTGCCTAACAGAAATGTTGTATAATGTTCATGTTAAGAGACAGACCGATATGGAAATACACTGTTCGCATCATGTTTTACATTCTTAAATAACAATTTGGTCATGCTGTAAGTTGTTTCTGTCTTTTTGATGCCTGAGTTTCTGTGTTGGTTTTGAAATAACACTTAAATTATCCTACACCCAGTGGCACACAAGCTGCAGCATCACAGGAAGCACAATATATCAGTATGTCTTCATGTTTCACTATAAGTAACATGAACCCAGGACACAATTATGCAATGGGTTTAGTGGGTTATGAAATAAAGTTAAATAAACACTATTTGATAACTGACTATAAACAGTCAATTAAAGGGATTTTGGTTATTTCCATTTCAGAACCAGTTACATAGAATGACCGGCTAGCTTTAGAAGTATTGATTACATCTAACAACAAGTGGGGTACATCCAGCTTGAAGCCCATGTTCAATTTTACCAGAATATTATGAAAATATTAAATAAGTAGAATTGGGGTAAAACCAATTAATGGTTATTAGTTAAATGATTATAACTGTAATTTGCTTACACCACAGGCTTCTTTGTATTTTGCATAAATGTTGGACTGCTCTACTGGCTTTTAAGGTCCAGTTGCCTTCATCAATTTATTAATTTAAACCAATGCTATCAGCAGAGTTATTAATCACCATCCTAAGAAATCGTCTCTATTTATTCAGTTGTGACCCAAAAGGAGGGTGGATCTGACCTGAGTGATAAATCCTTCACTGCATAAAATCACCACAAAATACCACGGGTTAAAACACAATGAGACCTTTTTTGCTCATAATCACACACAGTATTATTGTGATAATACTAATTCTAATAACCATGCAGACACTAAACACTATGGAACATAAGCACTAGTAAATAAAAGCAGACAAAACTTAATGTATTCCAAGACTGAGAAATAGATTGAAATATAAAAATATTTTACATTTGAATAACCAATACGGTTTGGATCATGTTTAAAACTTCCACCCTAAGGTCTTTTTTCTGCTTTGTTCCCATATCTTTTGTTTTTATTGTTGCTGCAGGTATCCTTGAATCTATGTATTTCCCGAAATACAGGATACAAAGGCAAAAAATAAAGAAAGAGGTAGATGGCATTTTCTGCATTCCGGTATACACTAACAATTTGTTAATGCAGAAAGACCCTGGGCTAGGAATCGAACCTAGAACCTTCTTGCTGCACACAATTAGGATCTATATTGTAACTATGAATTTAGGCAGCAACAATTTCCATGTATAACCCAGTACTAGGAATTCTGAACATGCTTCTGATCCTCCAAAGAAAACAAGGTCCTGCATTACAATATTATCAATGTCAGTTTAAGTAGTACTGTACACCATTTATATAAGATCTTTTCATTTCTCAGTGGCATGTTTTGAACTAAGGACCAAGGGTTTGGCAATGTTTGTAATGGAGGGAAATGTAAAACTCAGTATTGAATCTGACAGTTATTCAGCCTCTGGAAAAGAAAAAAGAAAAGCTAAAAAGGTAACTTATTAAAAAAAGGTTGACGTGTCTCTTGCGCAACAAATGCCATTTTCTCCTGAATGCCATGGAATTTAAACCTCAGGATTTGCTTTACAAGGAAAAAACAAATCCCAGGGAATTCTGGCTGCTCCTATTATTCTGAAAGGCCCCAGGATATTTGTTTAAATTAGCTTGAGAAAAAATGCATTCCACATTCATTTCAGCAAGTGAAAGTAATAAGAATGCAGAACTGGTTTCACATTTTACATCCATTATTGCGCAGTTTAATTATAAAACTTTGTATACTCCCTTCAAAATAACCTATTTCCTTGATGATCTTGTTTCAGCTGATAAACAGTGGATGACCAGCTATATAGAGTGATTCAGCTGAACAATGTTTTCCATTATAAGGTTGCACTGGAACCATAAGCAGAAAATGTTAAAATTACTACTTTTTTCATCATCCTAAAGCAGGCCAGAGTTGTTGTTTCATAACTGCATGATTAATTCAAAATAGCAAAAACGGAATAATACTTATTTTCTTTCATTATAGTAACAATCAGGTAAATCTCATATCAGATATGTACAAAAACAGAAAATATTTTAGCCAAAATTGTATTTATTAGAGTCCTTTCAGAGGAAAAACTAACAGATACCTTGACTATCTAATTCTATAAAAAATTATTATATTAAGTTAAAATTGTAGAACAGAGAGTCAAAGATGTCAAGACTTAAAAAGAGAATCTTGACAGTAGTGAGGTTCTATAATTGTGGTCTCTCGTCTTACCAAGCTGTCACCATAGAACAATGAAAAATAAAAAAGGTAATCATGTATAAATCAGTAATGCACAACATGTCATCTAAAGGCACTTTGCAAAGGCAATTCAATTAAGACAGACTGGTCAAAAATCTACAAGGTTTCCCTCAAGACCCAGTTGACTGCTTTGAATTATTGCCTTTTCAGGATTCGTTCTTTCTGGATAAGCAGGCAGAAAGGCCTGTCTGCTGATCTTTGCCACTCTAATATAATTCTTGAGGCATATTTAAAAGTAGGTTCATAATCTTGATGAACAAACTGCATGGATGAAGGTTTGAGGTGCTCTCTCTCTAGC